GGCCCCTCTCTCCCCTGTCAGCGCCTGCTTGGCCTAGACCCTTGAGATGCGAGCAGGGGGTCACCAGGACTGGCGGCTCAGGAAGGAGTGGGGGGCTATGGCTGTGAAGTCATCGCCTGGGTCAGGCCACGCTCCGCATCTCGCCCCCCTGGCACGCCCAGCCGCCTTCTGACACGCGCACTTTCTCCTCTTGCTGGGAAGTCGCTGGGCTCTGCTGCCCAGGTGCCCGCCCCGTTGCTGACCTGCAGTCCCTCAGTGCCGCTTCGTGCGTCCTCCACCCTCTCCGCTCCTCACGCCTTTATCCACCCTCCGCCCCGCTCACTAGCCTGGTCCCTGTGCTTCCCTCTACCCTGGTTCCCAGGGCCCTGGGCCCTTGCTTGCCCCATGGTTGACCTTATACCCTGCCTCTGGTGCTCCCTGGACATCCTGGGGCTGTTTCCTCAGGAGGAAGCTGAGAAGGAGGTTCACTCTTACCACTGTTCTCACCACTCAGACGCCTCTAGGCTGAGCTCTGAGGGCAGCTGCCTCGGATGGAGTGTGGATGCAGCTGCTCTGCACCCAGTCTTGCCCAGGAGCCTGAAAGCCTTCTTTGCCCATAGGCAACCCATTTTCTGCAACAGTGAAAGGCTACCTCCCCTTCCTCCACATCTGGTTCCGACTGTGCCCTCTTGACCCCTGCTCCCTGGCTTTACTGTCACCCACATAGGCTGACCATAGTCAGCCTCCAGCTTTACCCAGGGGCAGCATGGCCACAGCCCTGCCAGCTTGCTCACTGTGTGTTCTCCCTGGCCTTACTGTCACCCACATCGGGACCATAGTCAGCCTCCAGCTTTACCCAGGGGCAGCATGGCCACAGCCCTGCCAGCTTGCTCACTGTGTGTTCTGGCTCTTGGAGCCTCGGGTCTCCCTGGGAGATCTTCCTGCTGCTGGCCTCAGCCCCAGGTGGGCTCCACATGGTCTCTGCTGTCACTCTGCCTCATCTCACCTCCCCAGGCCCTTCCTCTCATAACCACTCCACTGCCTCCCATGTCCCTGAAAAGGGACAGTAGTATTCGTAATCAGAACTAGCATTCGTTGGCTTTATATGTTTTATTTAACATCCCCGAGAAATAAGTTCTTTTATTTTTTTGTTTTGTTGTAATATTTTTATTTTTTGAAACAAGGGAGCTGTCTTCTTAATGTGCAGAATTCGGAGAAGGCCAGCTTGCATGCTGTCGGGAGGGGTTTTCTTCACAGAAACACCCAGGAGGGAGCTCAGGCGAGGAAGCCAAGGGAGAGTTCGGGGGGCAGGCGGCTTTTCCCATGCCTCCTCCTACCCTGGCTCGCCACAGTCTGTGCTGCAGGATGGCTTCTGTGATGGTATCCATGCCCTTAGCTTTTTGGACAAAGAATTAAACGAAACACGTAAATAGTGTAGGAAAAAGGAAGTTTATTAAATAAAAGTAAAAGTATACTCCTGAGAGGTAGGAGCAGGCCTGAGTGGACAGAGAAGTAGTGGCTCCAAAAGGCCCTACATTCTGTTAGCCCCAGTTGAAGTGTGTGTGTGTGTGTGTGTGTGTGTGGCGGACAGGGGTGTGGAGGGGCAGGGAAAGTAGCTCTGGATTACAGATGGAATGAGCCCCACTGAGCGAGGACAAGGAATTATTTAAGATTCCCTGTAGGGCAGAAATGGCAGTGCTGGGATTCAAACCCAGGGACACCTGACTTCAGAGCCTGGACCTGTCACAGTTGCAGAAAATGATTGGCCACAGACACCTTTACTTGTTTGCTCCCTTTCATGGACTCTACATCACCAACTCCCCTCTCTGCCTCTGACGCCAATTAGAGGACAAGGTGTCGTTCTCTCCCCCTCCCCTACCTCAGGCCTCATCCCTTGCGTTTGTCTGTCCTGCCCCTCCTGTTCTCCATTCCTGTGTACCCCTGCCCACCTGCTGATGGTGCATGGTCCTGTAGCCCTCTACCCATTAAACTCGGGGAAGCCAAGCACCGGCAGCCTCGTCATCCCCAGGGTGCTGTGGGTTTGCTGCAGTGGAGGTGGGAGGCAGGCCATGACTTCCCCTTAGGAAGGATGAAGACGTCACTCAGCTAGATGAGGGGTTCTGAGACCCTGGGTCCCAGGAAGGGAACATTAGCAGGGAGCCCCCTTGGCTTTGGCTTTTCACTTGCGCTATAAAGTTTTCCATCCAGAGGCCTCATTGCGACTGGTTTCTATCCTTTCTTCCTATGTCCCCAGACAGGATCTGAGTTCTTTTTCATTGTCCCCCACCTCCTGCATCAGCACCCACTTCACCAGCCCCTCCTGTTCACATTCAACATGCATGACCCCCCTTGTCCAGGCCAGGTATGAACAGCGGGTCAGGGCTCAGTGACATGCAGGTGGAGCCTGCTGGGTGTCCAGGTAGAATGTCAGGTAGCATGTCAGTGGGTCCTTGTGGCCCCAGACTTGTTATCTAGAAGGAACAAAACAAAGGGGACCCCAAAATCTAGACTTAGCTACTCTGTGTCTTTTCCCATGTCCTCCTCCCAGTCTCTCTTCCTGTGTCAGGAAAAAAAGGCACCACACAATTGCAAGGTAAAGAAATAATTATTTTATCGTGCATCAGACTGTGTCATGAAGATGTCACGGAGACAAAAAGCCCGCTGTAGTTGGGGGTTGGGGGCAGCAGAGTGGAGTAGCAGCATCCGGGGCTGGGGTGTACCTGTCACCTTGGCCTTGGGACAAGACCAGTGTGGAGTGGTTCAGGCAAGACGTGGCCCCTCCAGCCAGATCTCAGGCTCCTGTGGGACCACGAGTGGGTGGCCACGTCAGGCCTGTGCCAACTGCGCCTCTTCATTCGGGTCAGTTTGGAGCTGCTCGTGTCTGGGAGGCTCCTCTGTCCTACGGCTATGGGGCCCTTTGGCCTCTGTGGCAGAGGTGGGGATGGACCTTCAGAACTGCAGAGGGTCAGCCTGGAGGAGCTGCCTGGCAGATGGGAAGGGGACCCTGTGGACAGGTACAAGCTGCTCACTTCCTCCCGGGCAGTGCCCATCTCAGCAGCGTCCAGCCTGGCCCCATTGCTCCCTGGGTGGGGAGCGGCCCACCTCTGTCCTGGAGGGGAGGGTGCCTTCCACTCCCTTTGTCTGGGTCTGGCCTCTGCCAACAAAGGATAGTATTTTCCCGGTGCTGAGCAGACAGCTGAACAGAGGCTGCCAGTGCAGCGGTGGGCCCAGCTGGGTAGCTGGGGGACCCTTGGCCGGCTCAGCTTTCACCCACACCAGAACCAGCCTGCCCAAGACGATCCCCACATACGAATGTGCCTCTGGCATCTCACTTGGGTTTGGCCTCCGTCTTGATTGGACACTGAGCGAGGATCTTGGCCAGGGCTGAGAGTGTTGACCCTTTTCGCAAGGGAGCCAACAGCAGGAGGCACAAACCACAAGGTCTGGAGGAGGTTCCTGCAGGCTAGAGCTTGGAATTCAGGTGTCGAATCCAGGAGCCAAGAGCCTGGCATCCTGGGACCCCAGCTGGGGATCCCAAAGCTTGAGGCCTGAAGCCTGCCCAGGGGGTGGGGGGCATCTTGGAGATTGGGCAGACGGTGCTGTCGCAGGATGGTTGGGTGCCCAACTGAGAGCTGCCTCTCAGGTACGGAGTCAGGGCCAGGCTTTGCTCTGTGCATGTCCCGCTCGTGGAGTCTGAGTGGGGCTCGGAGGGCTGGGCAATGATGAGAGGTCAGGCCTGACTGCTAGTGCTGTCTCAGGAGTGCTGCAGGACCCAGTACCTGGGCCCTCAGGGACCTGGGAGTCCTAGCAGGGGTGGGGAGAGGGAGCAGTGGCACCCCCACTGCCGAGACCTCACCAGTCAGCCTCCAGCCGTTTACCTCTTCCCTCAGCACCTGTTCGGCCCTTGGTCTCTGGCTTCTGTCTCTGCCTCCTCCTCACCCTCAAGGTCCAGAGCCAGGGAGGCCTGTACTCTCTGTGCCTCTGGGTACAGGAGCCCAGGAGCCAGGGCGGAGGGTTCTCCCACTCTGCCTCTTTCTGGCCGGCTGGGGGGCCTGGTGAGCATGCCCTCTACTGTAAAAGGGACACAAGCGTCCCTGTTTTGCCGGCCTTCCGGAGCTGGTGCGATCATCTAGTGAGATGGCCCCGTACTGCCCAAGTCGTGGTACTACATGCGCAGTAAATCGGCTGAGTGAGCTGGTGAAAGAGGAGCTCCCTCCACAGCCCCAACGTCCCTGTCTGTGTATGGACAGGCCACAGAGGAGCAGTGCTGCAGGAGCCTAACTCAGATAGGGCAGTGGCTGCAAAGGCCCAGCCCGGATCTCTGGCCCAGGACAGCAGCCTGAGGCCTTGCTGGGAGGCACTGGCTCTGGGGACGTTTCCCCCTCCCAGGGGGGAGACTGAGCTCTGGTTTGAGACCTGGGCCTTCTCTTGCCCTCTCCTCACCTGCTCTTCCTGCCTGGAAGGTCCCACAGAGATGGAACATCCAGCTACCCTGCCTGTGTGAGGGCTGAGATGAGCCCTTGGCCCTGGAGCTGGTCCCTGCCTGTTTCCTTTCCAAGGGGTTCGGGATACCAGGCCACCCAGTGCTGGCTGCCGTGTGCACACGTGAGAGGAGAGTTGCGAGCTCTTTTAGGCAGTGTGACTTCCTGATTTCCCCACCTTAGGACCACCTCCTTCCCTGGGTGTCAGGGCAGTAGCCACGTGGCTATAACTCCTTGTTACCCACCTTGAGTCTGCAAGTAGAAAAACGCATACAGATTACACTGAGTGGTCAGCAGCGGCCAGATGTAGGCAGCCAGAGGCATGAGCCAGGTCCCTTTGGTCAGTGGCAGCCACAAAGGCCCAGGCTTTGGGGAGGCCCTGGTTCGTGCCATTGGGATCACCTGCCTGGTTTCGGCAATAAATAACATGAGGACCCAAAAACCAAACCAAAACGAAAAATACAACCAGTATCTCTTGGGGTGGGTGGTGGGAGGCTGTTTAAATTATTGGCCTTCGCCGGGCACAGGGCTGGGCGGCAGTCACCGGCACGTGTGCAGTGTGCCCCGGCGCGTGTGCGGCTCAAAAAGCCGCTGGCACTGCCGGCACTTGACGAAGCAGCACCAGTGGAACTTGCAGCTGCAGCGCTCGGCCAACTCCACCTGTGCCGTGTGGAAGCCGCGGCCGCCGCCGGGCAGGCCCCAGCCGTCAGAC